TACTACTACTACTACTACTACTACTACTACTACTACTACTACTACTTTACTGCGACTATCTATGTTTCAGGAGGGGGAGCAGGACAACATGGAGGGACCACTTCTATGCACCGCCGAAAGATGCAGGGCGAAGTGTATCAAAACGAAAGACCCGTAGAGGTGACCCTCTCCTCCTCCTCCTCCAGAAGCAAGGACCAAGACGACACGCCCCTCTGCAGCGGCGGAGGGCGTGGATCTCTGCCCCCTCCCCATGGCAGATGGCCGAGGAGGGCCCTCGGGACGCGGGGGGGGGGAGCGGCGCTCGCCCTGCACGGAGCTGTCGAACGCCGAGAGGGCCTCCGACAGCGGAGGGGCCGCAAGGGGGGGGGAGGCTGCAGCGGCGTGGAGGGGCCGCTGGGGGAAGGCTGCCCGCCGCAGGAGGGAGACCGAGCGTGAGTGCGAGCATCGTTTCGCCGATCCCCCCTTCCCACAGGCCTGGGCCACACTGGCGCCAACTTGCCCCCGTAGGTGGGTATTTGTGTCCTTCGACTCTCGCTGGGCCCTTCTCTGTCTGGGGGGGTGGGCCTGTGGGGCTGAGAAACCATAGCTCAATGGCTCAGTGGGGATGAGGATCGATCAGACGATGCTGAGAGTGGGGGGGGGCGGGCGGGGACGGTGGAGCTGCGCGATGGGATCGGGAGGTTAGGAAGCTACTCCTGGGAGGACTGCGCGAGAACGATTAAAGGCTGTGAGGCGCGAGCATCAAGCCGGGATCAAACTGGATTGGACGGGTTTGCACTGGATCAGGCTGGTTTTCGGACACGGACATACCAGCGCCGATGCTGAGTTGAATCTCCCAGGAGTTGCATCTGGGGATGGAGGGGCAGGATCAATCAACACCGAATCTGGATATCGGATGGGATCAGAGTGTGCGTCGGATCGGGGCCTGCACCCGCGCGGAGTCGAAACCGAATCGGTTCGGCCGCGACAGGATGCACAATAGCGCCGTGCCTGTATCGGGTCGCGTCAGACCGTCAGAGTATCGGAATCGAATCGTATCCGGCCAGAAGAAATGGATGTGTCCGCCGACCCCCGCTTGCCGGGGGTGCAAAAGGCGTGTGAGATGATTGGCTGTCCCCCATCCCCCTTTCCCTCTCCCCTCGGGCCTGAAATCCGATTAGAACGGGGGGGGCCCAGGGGAGGCCAGAGGGGGTGGGCCGAGGGAAGGGGGGGTGGCTCTCTGGGCTCCCCAACTCAACCCCGGACCTCCTGCGCTTTCACATCGAAACTTCGTGGCCTCCAAGATGCCCAAGATGTCCTCTGGGCTGGCTCAGACTGTGCTCCAACACACCGAGGAGGCCTCTAAAACAGCCACCCAAATGATTTCAAATTGACCCAAGAGGCTTCCAAGACGAAGCCCAAGAAGGCCCAAAATAAGCAAACATCGTTCCAATCCCTGGTGAAACAAAGAATGCTAGAATACGTGCGCTTTTGGTCATGACAGCGTTCAAGACGGCTCAAGGGGCCCGAAACAAAAACGCTCCAAGAGGGCCAATCAGCCCCCAGGAGGGCCCCCAGACGGCCGAAGAGGGTCCCAACAGGGCCCCAACAGAGGCGGAAGAGAGGCAACTCGAACTGATCTTCCGAGCCCTCCGCCCCACGAGGACCCCCTAGACTTAGGTCGGGCCTGTCCCCCTACAGGGGGATTTTGGGCGAAAAATTAAACATATTTTGAAAATGCCATCCAAATCGGCAAAAGTAGTCAAAACATCGTCCCTGGACTATGTTTTCACTATTTTGGAATACTCCTCCTGTAGAGGGACAGGCCCGACTTAATCCCAGACCGCCAGCAGGCACCCGAGGAACTCCCCACGGGCCCAGAGAGGTTCCCACAAGGATCTCCCAAAGAGGCCCCCAGAGGGTCTCCAGGAGGCCCCCCAAAGGCCTCGACCGTGTACTTCTGCCTTCTTCCGTGGGTCGGTGAAATGCCGGAAGCCGCTTGGCTCTTGGCTATCTGTAATGGATCTATATATATATATATATCTCTATCCATCCATCCATCCATCCATCCATCCATCCATCCATCCATCCATACACACAGACAGACAGACAGACATACATACAGACAGACAGACAGACAGACAGACAGACAGACAGACATATACATGTACATATATGTATGTATCTGTGCATTTGAGACATTTAAATGTATACGCATGTATACATATATCTAGACTCATCAAGGGCGATCAATCGGATCGAAGTGGACCCGAGCGGAGGGAGGCAGTAGCGATGGGGGCAGGGAGACCACGGGGAAGATGCATATAGGTGCATCGCCCGCCCAGTGCCCTCCCCAACCCTGTGAGGGCATAGAGAGGGCAGGAGGAAGGAGGACGAGGGACGAGGACGCGGAGAGACGATCACAATCGCAACCACTCTCTTTTCCAGAGCAGCCGGCCTCGCCGGCTGAGCAGGAGGAGGAGGAGGGAGGAGGAGGGGGAGAGGAGGAGGAGGAGGAGGAGGAGGAAGGGAGGAGGTGCCTGGAAGGTCAGGGGGGGAAAGGGGGAGGGGACGGCAGCTGTCGGAACCGTCATCTGTGGTTGGGCCCTCGCTCTCCTCGACGCGCTCGCGCCTCGCCCTCTCCTCCTCCTCCTCCTCCTCCTCCTCCTCCTCCTCCTCCATCCACCTCCTCCTCCCCCCTCCCCCTCCTCCTCCTCCCTCCTCCTCCCTCCTCCTCCTCCTCCTCCTCCTCCTCCTGCTCCTGCTCCTCCTCCCCTCTCCTCCTCCTCCTCCTCCTCCTCCTCCTCCTCCTCCTCCTCCTCCCTACTCCTCCTCCTCCTCCTCCTCCTCCTCCTCCTCCTCCTCCCCCCCTCCTCCTCCTCCTCCTCCTCCTCCTCCTCTCCTCCGCCTCCTCCTCCTCCTCCTCGCTCCTCCTCCCCCCCTCCCCTCCTCCTCCTCCTCCTCCCCCTCCTCCTCCTCCTCCTCCTCCTCCTCCTCCTCCGCGCGCGCGCCGCTCCCTAGAGGCTGACGGCTGACAGGGGCTGTGCGCCTCTCTTTGTTCGGCTACACGTAAGAGTGACCTTTGGTGCGCGACTTTGGGGGGGCCGCGAGGAGGCCAAAGCCAGGCGCGCTAGCCGCTGCCACCGCTTCACGTTCGGCCATCTGGGGGCCCATCTGTGCCCGCACCCAAGGTCACTCCGGCGAAAGGTCACTCTTACGTCTAGTCGATTTCTGGCCCCCACTCGCACACCTCGCGCCCGCAACCCAGACATGCCCGCGCCGAGAAAAACACGGCAGGGTGGCTTGGGGCAATCTTCGGCCTCCGGGGGCCCACGCGGGGCACAGGGCCTGTCAACAAATCGACTCGGGAGGAAGAACCGGTCCCGGGGAAAGGGCCTGGATTTCCAGACTCCAGGGGCCCCGAACTCGGAATGACAAGGCGCCTCATGTCTCAAAGGGAACCCCTGGCGACGGCGCCAGGAGGCACGCTCGCACCCCGCAACTGGCCAACGGGCCCTCGATTCGATGCGCAGGATGCTTCCACGTGCCCGCGCGGCCCAAGGCCGCTCGGGGACCCTACTGTACAGTCCCAGGTCTTCGTGGGCGTCGAAGCCACCCGCGCACCGATACCATAAAAGTCCGCGGGGTGCGGGTGGGGCTCAACCGATCAGCCGATTCAAGACCCTTCTCTCCCGACGGGGCGAGGGCTCACCCAGGCTCGGAGCAGGGCCGAGCCGAGACAACACAGCTCAAGATCTGTCTGAGCCGTGTGTCTCAGCTCGGCCCTGCTCCGAGCCTGGGTGAGCCCTCGCCCCGTCGGGAGAGAAGGGTCTTGAATCGGCTGATCGGTTGAGCTGCGCACCAATTGTCTGAGCTGCGTCCAGCCGCGGCGGCGAGCGCCCCCGCCCCGAAGGCCAGCTCCCGTTGCCTCCACGCGCTTGCCCCCTCCTCCGACAGGCGCGGGCCTCCGATCTGCGCGCCCACGCCGCGGAGCCCAGGAGGAACGGCAGGGCGCACAGGAGCAGGAGGCAGCAGATGCAGCACTTCCTCCCCGCGTCGCCGCGTCGCCGCGCGCGTCGGGGGGGGGGCGGTGGGCCGTCGGCCCGCCCGTGGGCAGCTGCGCGCTGGCACGACGGTGCCCTCCCACGCCGCCGCTTCCCAGACCTGCTCGCTTGCGGAGAAAAAAGACCACGTCGGGACGTCGGGAGATGCTCGGGCGTGTGCGGTCTCCAGGGGCCCAGGATGGGCCCTGGGACAATCACCCAAACCACTCGGAATGTAATAACGGCCCGGGGCAAAGGGTCGGGACTTCCGGGGTCCTCGTGTGGAAAACAACGAGACAACGCATGTCTGTGTTCGCGTCATGCAGGGCCAAACCCCGAGCGTCAGGGTCGCTGGCTGGAGGCCTTAATGAAACCTTGCAATTGTCCGTGAGGCTCCTGCTGCTTCCAAGAGCAAGATTCAGCAGTTGAAAAATGACGACAACAGCAACAAGTGCGACAACAGCGAACCACCATGAAGTAGGGTACCCAAACATACTCACGCCAAGTTTTCATACAACAATCGGAGCAACATCGTCAACATCATCGGAAGGTCCATCAGGAAGTGGGTGCGCCGCCTTCCCAAGCTCATGGGATAGTGAACTAGCATCGGGAGCGGCCAAGAGGGGGGCGTCCAAGAGGGGGGGGTGCCGGCGGCACGTGCGCGGCCCAGCGGGGGGGCCAGGGACGTAATGAAATAAGAAGAGGCGCCATGAGATCTGGGGAAATATCATGGCCCCCGCCATGAGATCCACCCCCCCCTGGTCATCACCCCCCTTTTTTCCGCCCCCGATAGCACAGGGGGGGGGCCGAGACGCAGCATCGAATCGATCACCATCTACTACTGCTGGTGTGCGGGGGCAGCAAGCGGCAACAACCACATCGAGGACACGCCCTCGGGGATGTCGCCCGAATGCCGGCAGTCGTCAGCACACCCAGACCAGCTCTGGCCATCGCTCGGACGTCCATACCCTGTATTTTATTCGGTTTCGTGTTTGGTTTTTTCGCTAAATGATCAAGGATGCTCCTCGATGGTCCTCGCCGAAGGAGACATGCACACGTCCGAGCGATGCCGAGAGCTTAGTACTGGTTGTGGTCGATGTGGGCGTCCCAGGCGGCCAAATCGACCACAACCACAGCCACGGTGCTCGTATCGAGGTCGGTGCATTCTCCCCCGAGGGACCCTCCAGAAAATTCCGCTCACTTCAGGCGGAACAACCTTCTAACCGCGTGAATACTTAACCGTTGCCTCCCGCGACGCATGTATGCACGCACACCATCTATCATGCGTCAAGAGTACCGCAAAGAGTAAGTATGGCCATGAAGTTCGAATAATTGTCCGGTGAGAGCCCCATTCTTAAAAAAGGAACCACCAAACCCCATCGGTACACGCGTTGTACACGCTTGCATCTCTGGACACAAGATCTCGAGAAGCATAGAACGAACGCTTCATTTTGAAAAGGAGTCTACTTCCGTCCGTGTGACTGCTGGGAACGTGTAGGACGAATGAGCGCGGCGGTACGGCAAGAGCACCATAAAAGACGCATGTGCTGCATGCCTAAAACTGATGGAATCCCTTGAGATCTGCGCGAGATCTGTGCGCGCGGCGCTAGCGGGATAATCACTTCGCCCTCCGTCAACTGCGTACAAGTAGCATCTAGACTTCTCAACGTAAGGATCGCAAATGGTGAGGAAGTCTCAAGCAAACCGCCCGGCCCGCCATGCTGACAAGTGAAGTGATGTGACGAGGAAATCGTCAGAAAGTGGACGGGCTGGTGAGGAGGAGGTGGAACATCATTCCTCCCAAAACGTATCCGACGAACGGTCGGAATCCAGAGATCAACTTGCTGAGCCTACAAAACAATTCGGGGCATCCTTTGTATGAAGTCTCCGCCCTGTAAATGACCTTTCCTGAAGAAGAAGTCTTCTCCTCGAGACCTAACGCCAGCACTAAAAATGGTGCGAGAAAACGGATTCGGATCAGCATGCTTATCGGATGTTGTACCGTCCCTCCCTATCTGGATCAATTAATGTGAATGCAAAGGCTGCAGAAGTTGTCGAATCTACCACAGTAAGGTGCGGTTTGACTGTCCCAGGCCCTCAATCGGACTCGCGCTGAGATGGACAACGGACCCGTGGATCTGGCCCGTGGATCTGAGAAGTACCCCCCCGGATCTGGCCCGTGGATCTGGCCCATGGATCTGGCCCGTGGATCTGACCCGTGGATCTGGCCCGTGGACCTGGGGCGTGGGCGCCAGAGCCACGGCTTGGGGAAGCACCCCCCCGAACATGAAAAGCCAGCGCCGCCCGATGTGGCGACGGAGCGCGCCGATGTTGCATGCCGCCTTGATTCATGTTCGCGCTTTCTCGGCTCAGTGGTCAGGAAGAAACTGAATTTGCACCCGGCCCCCCATTTTCCCTATGACCTCGGTGCGCGCACTGCCGCAGGTCACCGAGTTACCCGACCTCTCCCCTCGCTCTGGCTCCCCGCCCAGGGCGCAGTCCCCTGACGGCCCCTCTGACTGTTAAGGCCCAGTAAAGCGACCGGCGTGCTGACCCCCCCCCCTTCGCGACAGGAGGTGCGTCGCGCATTCGTCGCCCGTGCGTCGGCCGCCGAAAAGGCCAGCCGCCCTCTCGAACGCGCACGTCGCCCTCGCAAGGGGGCACTTTGGTGAGTGCGTCGCCAGCGCGGCGGACGCCCACGGGGCGGATCGCACGCGCGTCGCCCTCTCCACGGCCGCTTAAAAAGGCTGATCGCCTTCGGGAAAAAGAAAGTCGCCCACGCTGCGGCCCTCTTGGCGAGAAGAAGGCGGCCGCTGGGCTACCTCGGCAGATCTGCAAATCCCACTAACATTACACATTCAGCGATGCTGCTGAACGCAGCCCGGCGATAGGCCAGCAGGTCCCCCCAGCCGCCGCCACAGCCGCCGCAACCGCCGCCAGCGCCAAAACTACCGCCGCCACGATCACCACAAATGGATGCGACCGCAACCACATCCACCGCGACGATTACGACCAACACCATTTACCGCCATCATCACCACCACGACCACCACGCTTCTCGCGACCACCACAACGACCGACACCAGCACGATCACCGACGTGACCACCACCAGCCCGCCCACCACCAGCGGCACGACCGCCGCCAACGCGACCAAGGCGACGAACGCGACCACGACCATGATCACCAACATGACCATTACAGAAGCACCCGCCCACTCCGTCCCTCCCCCCGCCCCCTGCACCTGTCGGGCCGCCCTTGCCGCCGCGCCCGCCTCGCGCCCCTGCCCCTCCCCCCTCCTTTTCTCCTCGTGATCTTCCTCCTCCACCGCCAGCGGCGGGGCCGTTCGCGGAAGGCGGGGGCGCCGCTCGCGGTGACGCGCCGCGGCCGTGGAAGGGGGGCCGAAGGAGAAAAGAGAATGAAGAGGGGCACGGGGTGGCAAGGGAAAAAAAAACAAAGACGAGAGAGGAGGGGGGAGGCACTGACAGAGGGAGGCTGGTAGAAAGGAGGAAAAGAAGGGGAGGAGAGAGGGGGGCGAGGCAGGAGAGAGGACGAAGGAGGAGGAGGAATGACAAAAGAGGAGGGACGACGAGGAAGGAAAAGGGAAATCACAGGGGCAAGCACCGCCCTTCCTGGCGCAATGGATGGCGCAGCCGCCGCCACTTGTGAACAGCGCAAGCACGGCGGGCCGACGGCCGTTGCGCATCGCTGCTCGGAGAAATGTCAGGGGCGGGCAAAGTCGCGACTGCGTCGCGCATGCGTCGCGCGTGCGTCGCGCGTGCGTCGCGCGTGCGTCGCGCGTGCGTCGCGCGTGCGTCGCGCGTGCGTCGCGCGCGTGGCGCGTGCGTCGCGCGTGCGTCGCGCGGGTCGATCGTGCGTCGCGCGCCGGCAGGGGTGCGTCGCGCGCGGGTCGGGGTGCGTCGCGCGCGCGTCGCGCGCGCGTCGCGCGCGCGTCGCGCGGGCGTCGCGCGGGTCGTTCGCGCGTCGCGCGCAGGTCGCGCGCGAATCGCTCGAAGGGCGCCGTGGACTCCTGACGGCATGTGAACTGCACGGCCCGCTGGCGAAACAATCAAGGGATGCGCGCGGCAATCGTAGAAATAGCGAGACACGCACGTGAGAACTACGAACGCGAGGAGACCAAGAGACGACATGGAGATGCAGCGCGCACGGACTAATCCATTTCAAGCGCACGCCCCGTCAGATGTTGAACATCGGTCCGTCGCTGCAGCAATTTGGCGACGTCTCGCCCGCCGATGCATTGGGGGGGAAAAGAAGATGGAAGTGAGGCGAGGGAAGGGCGGGCGGAAATGGGAACGGACGGGCGAGGAGGGGGCGCGCGGGGGCGGCGCAGCGGCGGCGGGAGCGATGGAAGGCGATCGAAATGGGGGCGGCGGGAGCGAGGAGGGCGAGAAGAAGTTCCAGGAGGGTGGAAGGACAACGGGGGGCGAGTAGGGAGGCGGACAGGACGGCAGCCTGACATAAAAGAACTGAATACAAATTTCGTAAACGGGACAAAACGCGCAGCGCGTTGGACGAGGGGAAGAGGAAGGAAGAGGGGGGGGCAGGAGGATTGGAGCGAAACGACATGGGGGTGCGGGGCGCGATGCGACGGGGCGAAGTGGCGCCGCGTCGCGCGACGCGACGTCACCCCCACCGGGGCGCGACACGCACAGCCCCCAATCAACGCGAGGCGTATTCGTCCTCAGCAACGGTTGGCGCCCCCGACAATGAGCACCAGCAAATCCTCTTGCGCCGAATTGGGAACAGAACGCGTTGGTGGACCGTCGAACTGGGAGTGCGCCGCGCCCGCCAAAATGGCTGCTGGTGCACGGGCGTCGGAAACCTATATATCGCCAGAGCAATTCCGAAGTCGCGCCATATGTCGCCCACGCACTCTGGGAGGCCGGGATTCGGGACAGAGACGCAAACCAGGGCCGGCGCACGGGCGACGATCGGGCGACACACTGAACGAAAACTTGAAGGGGGGGGGGTGGTCGCTTCACTGGGCCTTAACACCTCTGACCTGCGCCCCGTCCCTGTTCAGAGTGGGCCCCCTCCATGCATCTCGGCTTCCCTGGACCCCCTTTCACCCCAAACGACTCCCCTCTGCTGCCCCAAACACCCTCCCCTCTCCCAACTCCCCCTCCCCCTTCCTGGACTCTCTCCCCGCGCCCTTTGACTTGCTGGATCCTTCTTCCTGTCGCCTTGTGGGGGAAGACACAGATGCTCAACGGACCCCTCCCAGGGCGCTGTCTGACCAAGACCTCGAAGCGAACCCAGCCGTGGTGACGAGGGAAAGGTGGAGGTATCGGTATCCGCTTGTCCTCTCGTCCTCCTCCTCCTCCTCCTCCTCCTCCACCTCCTCCTCTTCCTCCTCCTCCGCCTCCTCGTCGTCTCTTCGCTCCTCCTCCTCCTCGTCCTCCTCCTCCTCCTCCTCGTCCTCCTCCTCCTCCTCCTCCTCCTTTTCCTCCCTCTCTGAACTCGGACGCCTGAGGCGCCCCCCCCGCTGAGATCCGACGTTACGGAACAATTGAAGCATCACAAAGCTCAAAGCTGGAACCCAAGACCCCATCGCTCTGGTGCATTCTTCGGAGCCGGATCGCCCTGGGGCCCGAAACCAGGCGAAAGCGCCTGGCTCGACAAAATTGAGACGCCAGGGTCTCATGGACCACACACAATCCGCACCACCCCACCGACGGCCCTACGTGGCTCAGCGTATACCAGCAAATCTGCAAATCTGACGTGGGCTTTTGCGTGGTGCACGCTACGGCCCCCGATGGGCCGTAGCGCAATATGGAGGGCCGTAGGCGGGGTGGCGTCGTTTGTTTGTTGGTCGATATCGCCCACCCCCCTCGAGCCCACCGAGGCTGCCAGGTGAAGTGCGGCTGGGCGACCTCCTCCTGGCGGCCACCGAGGGATGCCGGCCAGCAGGGCGCGGCGCTCCTCCTCCTCCTCCTCCTCCTCCTCCTCCTCCTCCTCCTCCTCCTCCTCCTCCTCCTGCCTTCTGCCTCCTGCCTTCTGCCTCCTGCCTCCTCCTCCTGCCTCCTCCTCCCTCCTCCTCCTCCTCCTCCTCCTCCTCCCTCCTCCTCCTGCCTCCTGCCTCCTGCCTCCTCCTGCCCTCCTCCTGCCTGCTCCTCCTCCTCCTCCTCCTCCTCCCTCCTCCCTCCTCCTCCTCCTCCTCTCCTCCTCCTCCTCCTCCTCCTCCTCCCCCTCCCCGTGCTGCCTCCCGCCTCCCGCCTCCGCGCGGGGCGCGGGTGGCGTGCCGAGACCGGCGGGCGCCCCGCAGGCGGGGCACGCGCAGGGCGGGGGGCAGAGGGGAGGGGCCGGCTCGCCAGCGCTGGGACGTCCCACGGCCCCTGGCAGCTGTCGACGTCGCGCACGTAGGTTTTGTTGTATCCCTCCTCCTCCTCCTCCTCTCTCTCTCTTTCTCTCGCTCGCTCTCTCTCTCTCTCTCTCTTTCTCTCTCTCTCTCTCTCCCTCTCTCTCCCTCGCTCGCTCGCTCTCTCTCTTCCTCTTCCCGTTGCTGCAATGTTCGACGTCGTGCACGTCTGGCCATCGCTCGGACGTCCATGCCCTGTGCTTTTTCCGGTTTCGTGCGTGGTTCTTGTTCGCCAGATGATCAAGGATGCTCCCCGATGGTCCTCGCCGAAAGAAACGTGCACACGTCCGAGCGATGCCAAGACGTAGGTTTTGGCTGCCTGCCAGACCACCGCAAGCTGACCCGAAGACCCGAATTTCGGGTTGGGGGGGGGGGCGGGTTCCAAACGCGTTTTTTCAATGTTCCCCGACCCCCCCCCCACCCACTAGAAGTGGAGGGCAGATCGGGGCATTCGGGTTGGGTTGGGTTGGCTTGGTGAGCGGTGAGTTTGGACAGGAGGAGTCAAGATGCTCCCCGATGGTCCTCGCCGAGTGCACACGTCCGAGCGATACCAAGCTGGAAGGGAGAGATGTTCCTTGGCATTGCCAAGCTTTCCCTCGCCTCAGGCTGACAAGACCATCATGCTGCGGAAAGTGCACTACTTGCGCTGATGAGTAGCTAGGTGGCACTACACACAGCGAAGAACTAACCGAATTAGAGGGAGGGAAACAAAGAAGCGGGAAGTGCAGGTGCTGTGGGAAAGGGGAGGGGACTGCAAGCAAGATGGCACCACATCGGGACACCAAGAGGAGCCCCTCGAGATACCCTGCAATTTGCAAGTGACTCACACTTGGGTCGCATGTGCTTCACACTCGTCCTCGCTTGACTTGTACTTACTTCGCGCTGTCACTCATGCTCGATCTGTCACGGGTGACGTTTCAGACACCGTTGGGACATCTTGCAAGTTACACAGGGAGCAGAGTTCCCTGGAAGATGGCTCGCGTTTGGTTCGCACTCGATGATTTGTGACACCATGCGTGCGTGACCCCAGCAAGAGAAGGAGAGATGAGAGGGGGTCGAAGGGGAGACTGGCTAAGAAGGACAGCCCATGGATCAACGGCGGGCCCTCGATAGCGAAGCCGCACGTTCCCGGGCTCGGTGGGCAATCGGGACTCGACTGGTGATTAATGGGCGATTGGGGGTCGATGCGCTCCCTCCTTGCCCAGTGCCCGCCAATGCACCCCGCCGTCTGGTTTTCGGGTCATAGCTCCCAATATCCCGCGGCCGTTCAGGACGACCCGAGCATCTCTGAACGCCTCTCGGCAAGGCGCAGCTGCTGGAAGGCACCCCGAGCTTGGAACACTTCAGAGAACCGACGGAAACAATCGAAAACCTCGAAATTTCAACTTCGAGACACCCAAACACGATCAATGACGTGCCGCCATGGGGACCCCATCAGCGTGTTACAATTGGAGAAGCACAACACCTTCGGAAAAAAAAAGAAACAAAAAAAACGAAGCAGCGAGCCATTGATAGTATTTCTCCCTCTCGAAAGCCCGAACCTTCTGCCAGGTGCAGGCGCTAAAATGCGGGAGGCGAGAAGCCAAGAACAATTGCTTTACTGTTCGCAATACTGCCTGTTACTAGCCCCGCCCCCCCCACACCTCCCCCCCGCCCTGGTCGCGTCACGATTCGCGCCAACGCCGCCTCAGAATTGGCCGCTCATAAAAATTGCCATGCGGCGCCGGCGCGAACCGTGACGTCACCGGCCCCTCCCACTCTTCCCCCCCCAACACGGGAAATCACCCGTTTAAAGGTCCATGTCCTGGTGAACTGATACACTTCCCGGTTGACGGGTTAGAAGCTTTAGATTTGTCATCGGTGTTTCAGGGCTTCCAAATAGCTTCTTGGACAACTTCAGAAATCTTCAGAAACCCACCGGCATCCTTTCGGAGTTCTCAAGCATTCCTTACGACTCCCCATCGTCTTGGGAATTTCCAGGAATACATTGAGAATCCAAAAAAGAAACTTTCAAGAATCCTGAAGAACCCCTCAGGAATCCTCACGGAATCTCCATGGATCCCTGCGGAATGCCGCAATCCTCAATAATGGTCGGGATCCCACCGCAATCCGCAATAATCGTCGGGACGATCAGGAATTCTTAGGAATCATCGAGAAACCAATCGAGAGATCCCTCGGGAATCATTCGGGATCCCAGAGGAATCTCCAGGACCCCCCCAGGCATTCGCAGAATCACCAGGAATCCCTGAGGACTCCCCTGAGACCCCCGAGGCCGTCGGCAGTGTCTAGGGGGGAGACCATTGGAGGAGGAGGAGGAGGAGGAGGAGGAGGAGGAGGAGGAGGAGGATGGGGAAGAAGGAGGAGGAGGAGGAGGAGGAGGGGGAGCAGCTCTTGCGAGAGCCTCAACTATCGAATGGCCTTCGGCCCACTCCGCCACCGTGGGTGCCGAGACCTCTTTGATAAATACCATGGTATGTTGGGATGCCTCGCTGGGGCCTCTTGGAGGCCTCTTAGGAGCCATCTCGGGAGCCTCCTGGGGGCATCGTCGGGGCCTCTGCTAAGGTGCGCCTCGTTGGCCTCTGGGAAGCTATTGGGGCTATCTTGGG